TTCCCTCATTACAGAGCACCAAATGTGGATTAATCCGCCGCTGAAAATAGTCCCCAACAGACGCACTGTTTCCTCCTGTTTGTTTTGATTAAAAGCTCCAGTGAGCAGTGTTTTAAGGAAATTACTGAACCTGTTTATGAACCAGGGATCCTGGAGGTGAGAGACACAAACAGGAAGTCACAAAGTCCTGAGAGACACATCGTTGGTTTGGTTTTGGTCTTTTTATGGGGTCTGATGAAAATTAGAGTAATGTCAACCTTATTCTTTGCACACACAGTGAAATACTGACTATGAACTCTATAAACTAGGGATGCACCAGATGGATTTTCTTTCAGCTGGCCGATACCGATAATTTCACATTTTGTACTTAAACAGTTTTGGAAGGCTGAAGGGTCTTTTCAGACGGCGAGCGACTCTCCACGAGTAAACGCCAGGCGCTCTACGTGTGGCGATCCTTGTCTTCGATGCCAACCAGAGTTACTGTCACAGTTATTGTTTACAGCTAAAGTTAGTCCAAACGCTTAAATCTTAATCTTATTTTAAATTAACACTGATGAAACTCACAAACAACAAGGATCAGTCTTTCATCTACGACCGTCGGGGTTCCCACGCATCCTGGAAAACCTGTACATTTTAGTCTCCCAGTCATGGAAACACCTGGAATCAAAATGACCAAATATCCTGGAAATAATCTGTGTTGTCCTGGTGGTCACTGATCTAATTAACGTCAGAGAAAAACTGAAGTCAGTTTGGAAAGCAGAAAAAATCCTTTAAACAAGAGTAAGTGCTGTCCTGTATTGTCAAGAAAAACATCTGGAAAAGGTCCTGGAAAAGGATTTCTCCAAAAGAGCGGGAACCCTGAACAGTATCAGAATGAATTAGGAGGCTCGTCAATCGCTTCCCGTCTGTAAAGACCTGTAAGTGTAGTGAGAAAAGATGGCTGGTTTAATAGACCAAAGCTCAAATCTAACTGACATCACTGTTGTTACGACGACAACAAACAACAAACAACAACAAACAACAGCTGTGACTGAAGTTCATCAAAAGACTTCATACTTTGGCTCTTACAGAACATAAAACCAATCAAACGTTTTGCATAAGAATTCAAAATCATTGATCTTTTATTATCTTTATAGACAACCATCATTGTGCATCCCTGAAGAAATCGGGCCCCTCGTGGGCGCCACACGTCCCCTAATGTGCGATAGGACGGACGCTGTCAGAGACTGTGAATCACGCCACATGAAGCGGCCGATCCTCTGCTGTACTCCCCCGCCGGTCTCGTGGTGATCACAACCGTACGATTAACTTTTACAACCGATATTCTGCGAGACATTGACCTTCATTTAAAGACGAATCTGGCAGTTTAAAGGGAAACGTAATCCAGAAACTGAATTCCTTCTTTTTATATTTTTGTTTGGGTGTTTTTTTTATCCACCTTATTCTTCTGTTATGCTGTTTTCCTTTTATCACACACTAAGTGCTATAATTGGTTGTAATAAGATCCAGATGGTCTCGAGGACGACCCTGTGACTCTTACAACCGAGTGACTGTATTTAGTTCAAATGTAATTAATAAGAGGCTGTTTAGTTTGAGCCACAAAGAAAGAAATCAGTCATTTTCTCTTCTTTGCTACTTTTTCTGGGCTCCTGATGTGACGGGACCACGAGATGGTAAATCGAGGAGGAACTGACTGTTTTTTGTCTTTCACATTTGACATTTGTGGTTTTGGTCTACGCTAGCGGCTCTATAGAGGAGCGTCACTGAGCTCTCAACTATTCCTAAATGTGCTTCAGACATTCACGTTCCTCACTGGATGAACTGTAGTCACTCATCGCTTCAGTGGTTGAAGTTCGGGTACTCACAAGGTGGAAAGAAAAGGTCAAAATTGAATCAGCAGGCAGGTTAAGATTAAAAATGCTGGTTACTACAAGTCCCATAATGCAACTTGGTACCATCTTATGTTAAAACCCTTTCTGCCTGGTTACTGTCTGTCTTTTAAACTTTTTAAGTCCTCCACTAACCTCGGTCGACTTTCTCCTTTCCTGTATTCTTTCTCCCAGGATGGTGAAGTCACAACTCGCCCTCCTCTTCCTCTGATCTTACCCTGACATTCTTACACTGACCCGAACCAATCTCACTCCTCACGCCTGAAGCTAACCGATGAAGGCAACGAGAACCAGCCAATCAGAGGCGGAGCAGGGCGAGTTGTGACTTCACCATCCTGTGGAAGAACAATGTGGTGGGTGGGGCTTAGGGAGGGTTAATTGTGTAAAACTGCCACCCACATCTCTTCATCACTTTACTGCTCTAACATAATAAAACCTTCTCACATACGTTACCAAAGACCCTCACTTTATAATCCTCATGACCATTACAGGCTCATAAAGCTGCTTGCGTAGCGTAGCTGACGTAAAATAACGGCGTTGTTGCACGTTGAGTAAAGTTTCCCCTCGAATCGTCTCTCATTTTAAAACTGATGCCAAACCAACACAGTGCTAAATATGGACCTTTAAGACATGTTGTCTTCTCCAGACAGCCATACGAAAGGGCAACAGAGAACTATAGATGCTGGACTGTTTGTTTTCTTTCTGTTTAAAGTGTCAATGTTTGAATTACAGTTGCATTATTGTAGTTTATTTATTGCTCAGTGCAACATTATGGGGTTGGGTTTGCTCAAGTTTTGTTTCATGTTGCGACTGCAATGGATGCAATCAATCTCAAGGATATTAAGGGAAATCCATGTGTACTATGAAGGTGATTTTATATTTGAATGTAGTAATTAAGAACGGCACCCAAACCTTTGTTTGCTTGTTTTTATTATCAATAAAATATTATTTTGAACATTAGTTGTGTGTTTGTTTTTATTTAATAAATGATATACATATATATTTGATAATCTGTGGTTAACAGGAATATATTGGAGGTTAAATTAACTTTAAATTGGATGACAGACCTCTTTTTGCTCATTTATGGGTGGTTGATATATTAATATTAATAATAATAGTTTTTTTTTCAAATTGTCCAAGTGGTCCTCATTTTTACTCGTGTTTGACTTACATACATATAAAAAACAAATATAGTCTACACAATCTATGAAAAAAGTTATTTTTAAACACAAATCATATTTTAGAGATTTAAATACTATTTTTTTGTTTTTATTTTTTGGTTCTGGTATCTTAGTATTAAATTTATTATTTTAAATTACAGTTTGCTTTCTCACTATTTGGTCTCATTGATAAAATATCACCACAATGAAATAATAATATTGATAATGAAACATGTAATTCGCTGTATTTTCATAAAAGTAGAAGATAATGTTTATGGTCACTCGGAAATCCGATTATTTTTCCGGTTCCTGGAACGCAGCATGCTCGCCGCTTGTTGCCTAGCAACCGTCAACGCCGCGAGTTGATTCCAACGTGGGAATCCGCGGAGAGAAGTGACGTCAAGCTACGAGCTAATGCTGAACACTACATCCGGTCTCCAGCTTCAAAATAAAAGCCGGAGAGCGCCAATGTGAACGTTTCACAACAGTTTGCTGCGAAAATGTGGAACAAATGCGCAAAATGATGTTGAGACATAAACTATTTTAACGTTTTTATATTTATCAAACACCCGCGGTCTCCAGAATGTGTTTGTTCTCTTCCTGTATTATTAAATAAATGTATTATTATTCCTAAACGCCTTTACTCTGAAGGGTGTGTTCGCTGTGTCTCCGGTAAATGCGTCCGGATGACAGGTTGCTGTTTTCTCTTGAACGTTATGATCGTTATTACATTCAACTGCCAACCTCCGGGATTACCGCCGCCGACCTTACCGGCAGTTTAACGCCTCCTTTACACACTTCACAGGTTGTATTCCCGCTGTTAATGGAGCCGGTGCTCGGTAAATAACAGCGCTTTAAACATGGACGCAGCGGCGGGAGTTTAAGTTTGATAAAGGAGCTAACGGCAGCTTAACTTTTAATAATTAACGGCTGCGGAGAAAGAAAGAAAGAAAGAAAGAAAGAAAGAAAAAGAAAGAAAGAAAGATGTCGGAGGAGAACATCAGCCTGTATGACTTGTTGAACTTATCCATCGGGACTCCGCAGAAAGGAGCCGTGAACTTCGGAGCCCTGCACGTCCTCCTGCACGCCATCCTCCGGCAGCTGGACATCCGAGAGCTGAAGACCCGCTGGAGGGACTCTGCTCCCGGGGAGGGACCGCCCGATGCTCTGGTGTGTGTCCGACAGCAGGAGCAGGAGGAGCAGGAGGAGGAGGAGGAGGAGCAGCGGGAGGTTCAGCCCGGGATGGAGCTCCAGGAGCGGATACCGTCCTCCTCCTCCCCGACCTCCTGCTCCTCCGGCCCCGCGGCGGGCGGCAGGTGGAGCCTCCGCTCCCGCATCCAGAGCTGCGAGGACGACGTGTCCAAGGTGAGAGCTTATAACAACTTATATAACAACTTTAATTCAATTAAAGGAGGTTTTTATTTCATATTCTCTGCAGCAAAAGTTATGTTTATATTCCTTAAATGTTTTTATCGCATAAAAACTAGACTTTTAGCTCTTAAAATGGCAGAAATCTGCAAAACAAACATATTATTATTACTTATTACACTTTTTATGACTCAATAGAAGTCATATATCAACTTTAATTCAATTAAACAAGGTTTATTTTTATTGTTCACTGCAACAAAAGTCATTTTTATATTAAAAACTAGACTTTTATCTCTTAAAATGGCCAAAATCTGCAAAACTTGTTATTAATATTATTATATACAACGAGGTTAGAACAATTATTGTCAATAAAAGTCATATATCAACTTTAATTCAATTAAACGAGGTTTATTTTTAGTATTTACTGAACCAAAAGTCATAATCCTCAAATGTCTAAACTTTAATCTCTTTCTCAAATCAAATATTATTTATTTTATGTCACTTTATGTTTCTGCTCCAACTGTAAATGCTACTTAATGTTCAGTGTTAATAATAGTCC